CTTTCCCTTCCGTCCAAATTTCCCCCAAATTATTCTTTGTCGCATTGAATTAGGGTTTTTCAATCCTCTGTCTGATCGACAATCTCACGCTCGCCAACCACCTCATTTTCGTTTGTATGTACGTACAATTCATAGTTCTTCTCTTTTCTTTTTGGGGGATTTTGTTGGATTTTCATTTCATTTATGATCAAACACATTGGTAGGATATTAAATCTCATGAATTCCGAAGCTGATTTTGGGCATTTCCATTTTCTGAATTGTGCTTGTAAACAAACTAAATCCATATTACCGTTCCATAGAAAAGTATTTTTTTTTTATAAATAATTTTTCAAGCGACATTATTGAATCGGTGAAATTATGGCTTCAATTTGCTTGTTTGATTCATTCACGGCAGCTAATTTCGTTTCCAAAAGAAGAAGGAAAAAAAAAAAACATTTCAAATGACCCTTTCCTCGTTACTTCCATAGACTGAGTTTAGCATCCTTTTGTTTTGTTTTTTGTTTTTGTTTTCGTTTTTGTTGTCGTTTTTTTTGGGTGCAAAGGTAGTGCAGATGATGGCTTACACTTGATCTCTGAACTTCAGGTAAGTTCAAATGTTGACCGGTTATTGACTGATGCTCTAATCTTTGCACCCCTTTTTGTTTGGCTGTTGTGTTATGTGTATTCACTACTAAACTAATGTAACCGAATTTGCATTTTTTTTTTAAATGTTTGTTTGTTCCCCTCGTAATGCTGGTCTTAACATTGGATAGTTTTAGAGAAAGGAGAAGTTAAAACATTCATAACAGTATCTTCAACTTATATTAAGTAAGAACATTTTTAGGACTCATTCAGTTCGTTGATTCGAGTTTTTAATTTGAACTGTGACTTTATGTGAGAGCTTTTAACTGTAATAAAACTGGAATTAAAAACTCGAATCGGTAAAATGAACGGGCCTTTGTTTACTATCTTAATCAGGTATTTAAACAGATGGTATTTATTGAGGCACTTTTCTTGCCATATAGATTTACTTACCCTTTTGATTAGTGAAGGGGTTAACAAGTTTTTTCATGATTCAATAGTTGGTGGTTTTTAGCACAATTATTCATCTAGTCTCTAGTGTTATGTACATTTGCAGGCAATATAAATGGGAAACAAATCAAAGAATTCTGCTGATGATAAGAGGTTCAATGTAAAATGGACGGAACATTGGGATACCGTCTTCGTTGACGCTCTTGTGCACCAACAAAGCATGGGAAACAGGGTTGATAAGGTTTTCACTACTGCGGCTTATAATAACATCGTGACAGAACTGCGCGATAAACTTGGCGAGCCGTTTCAGAAAGATCACTTGAAAAATCGTATGAAAACTCTTAAACATCATTTGAAGGAGTGTCACTACCTTTTTGGTGGTATTAGTGACTTTACATGGAGTCCAGAGACAAAATTGTGGACTGCGGAGCCTGAAGTGTGGAAAGATCTAATTCAGGTTGATTATCTTGTGAGTAACCTTGATTATATGATGGCGTATGTATATGTATTGCAACTAATATCTATTTTTGTTTGGACTCTTTGTCATATAGGCGAGACCCGATGCAAGAAAATGGATGTTTACACCCATACCGAACTATGATAAGTTATTGCTGCTTTTTGCAAATGAAACTGGTGACAGTTTTGCTATGTCAAAGGATGAAGGAAATCCAAGGTTTAACTGGAGGAGTGGCAGCGATTTGAATTGTGCTGCCGATCATGTCATGTCGCAAAACGATGTGACTCTTACATTGGAGGACTTAAACGGTACAAATGACGGAAATGATCTGCTGCCAACTTCAGCAGAAGCAAATTCTCAAATTGATATTCAGCCACCTTCTCAGTCTGCTACTTCTTCCAAAGGCAAGAAAAGAAAGGCTACTAGGAATTTTGACTTTGAGAGAGAGCTTTCGAGCGTAAGGGATGCAATCAAAGATGTCGCCGCAGCAATTAGGGAGGGAAATGCCATAGCAGAGAGGAGTCGGCCCCATGTTTATTCAGAGCAGGAAGTGTTCAGAGAACTCGTTAACATAGGCATTGAAAAGCAGTTGCGGTTTAGGGCTTACACCTTCCTAATTGCGAATGCTAGAAGGGTTCGAGCCTTCTTTGGATGCCCGGTCGGGGAGCGCAAGGAATTCCTGTTGCAGATGATGTATAGTCCTCAGGACTGTTGACTGACTTCATATAGTTGCAGATAGATAAGCTGGTGAAGGTTTTCAAATGTAAATGAAGGATTGATCTTCTATGATTGCAGATGGTTCTTTTTGTTGTTTGGAAATCAATTAAATTGATAAAAGCAATAGATTAACATTCAATGTAAACTTTGTGCTACTTAATCTTAAAAACAATACTGGGGCTTTTATTTGATGATAAGAAAAGCTAGTATTATTATTTCTGTCACTCTTTTTGTCACACTTTGCGTTGATTATTTGACATGTGTACTCCACTAATATAATATGTTATTATTTAAATAGAAAATAAAATGAAACAGTAAAATCTATGTGCGTGTTTAGAATCGTTTTTTAAAATGATTTTTACGTATTTCGAGAAGTAAAAAATGAAAATGAAAACGAAACGACGTTTGTTTAGCAAATGTTTTAAAAACGAAAATAATAAGAATGATTTTTGTGAATAAATTAAAAAATAGTTAAAAATTATTTTCACTTTTCTATTTTCATTTTTTAGTATTTATTAATAATATTATAATATATTAATTTAATAAACACGATTTTATTTTTTTATTATACTCAAAATAATCTCTTAAAAAATTAGCTAAATATAATTTTAGAATCGATCTCAAAATATTTTTCAAAATAATTTTATTTTTACTTTTTATTAGAAATAAAATTATTTTAAAATTAATTCTAAACGCACTTTATGTGTCAAATGATGAATACATGACAAAGAGAGAGAGACGGATGTTAATATTTCTCTTTGATGATTATTTTGTCAACTGCCTCAACTGCCAAGCTTTATTGCACATGCACATAAATTATGAACCAACCAAGCCACCCAAAAGATATTCACACACACATATAAGGAGCAATCTTGAACTTGATTGCACAAGACCTCGGAAAAAAAAATGTAATTATTCTTGTTGGTTTCACTGTGAGTTGAGCTTCTGAATCTGGTAATTGACAGTTTTTTCTTTCCAGGTGTCTTTGTCAAGAGTTGTCTCATAAAAGTTTACATCTCCATTTGTTTTTACAGTCAAAGCAGCACTACTTCTAGTCCCATAAAGACCCTGCACATAGTAAATATAATTAATTATAGTGGAAAATCTTCAATTCCCATGGTTACAACTTACAAGCCACAACATCAATCAACCAAACTTATGATGTTATTCCCTTAAAAAAGGTAATGTCATAGAATATTTAATGAAACTGTTTTAGTCAATTCAGTTGGTTCAATAAAAGAAAGTCAAATCAACTGGAAATAAAAAATATTTTTTAATTTTTATTTTATTTAAACACTCCTAAAATAAACAATAATTATGTGTCATTTAAAATGCTTACCAGTGGGGTGTCGACTTGAACAAATATAGAGCTGAGGTTGAACTCCCAATCAATAGCACATATATGAGGCAATTCACTCTGTTCAGCTTTAACTTTGTCCCTCATCAGTTTCTCAATCATTTCTTTTGCAGGGATTTCACTTCCACCGTATCCACGAAGCTCTTCCTTGAAAGTTTGTTCCAAGCGCTCGGCCTGCATCAGAAACGACATCAATGTTAAAAACGACAATAACCAATAAACAACATCAGCCTAAAACGACATCAATATGAAACGATGAAAACATAAAAGGGTGGCACAGCAGAAAACGAACGATAATCCAACGACAACAGCAACGAAACGACATCACTGTTAAGAGAGAGAGAGAGAGAGAAAAACACAAATACGACATCAACCCAAAACTTCAAAACGATTACCTCGTCAGAGATGACATATGAAGATCACATTAACACGAGAGAGTGATAAATAAAAACGACAATTAAACTAAAAAGTACATCGGACTCAAAAAATGCAAAACAACATGAACGTTAAAAAATGACAAGATATACAAACGACACCAATCTAGAAAAAACAAAAACAGCAATAATTTATCTGTTCTCATCAATGGTGGTGGGTGAGGCACAAGAAGAGACATGGGAGGAAAATAGTGGGTGACCAGGCATCGCGGATCATATTAACTTTTCTTTTTAGAAAAATAATAATAATGATAATGAAACTTGTTTTCTAAAAGTTCTTGTGGACTTTTGAAAATAAAAAAATAAAGTCTGAATGCTAGAAATATTTGAGTTATGTAGACCAATGTTAGTTTGTATCCAATTCATGGATGATTTCATCACTATAAATAAAATAAAAAATAAAAAAAATGAAGACAAGTGTGTAAGATGATATAGAACCTTATGCCAAGGAGAGTCGAGCTTGGCGTTGGAAATGACATGAATGCCCGGAGAAACCTCTTGAACGACAATGGGCTCTCCTTTGGGCCGGTTTGAGACGTAAACCATGGTCTTTGAACAAATGTCTGCCAATATCAAGTTAAACCCGTTATATTGATGCCCTTCCTTCACCAGCTGTTGAGCAAATTCTCTGGGACTCTTTTTGCTCTGTCACCATTTCGCATCGCCAAAAAAGAAAAAAAAGAAAAAAAAACCCACTAAAAGAATGCCCGAAAAACACTTGAATTAATAATTAGATAATTTACATTATCAGATCATAATCATATGATAAGTAAAAATACATGCAATTTAAGAAACATTAAAAAATATTTAATACCGTGCAAATGCGTAATAATGTAATATCAAATTATATTTATTTTATCACTAAGAGTCGTGGTGTAATAATGTAATATCAAATGATATTTATCTTATCACTGAGGGTCGTGGTGTAATGATAATGACACTTTTTATTAAGTCTTTTTGTTCATTCCCCTAGAATTTAATATTCTGCACCCAACACTCGGTGATACTGTCATGTCTCTTATAATAAATTAAATAGACTTCTGTAGGTCTTATGATGGAGGAAAGTGAAAACTAGTTAAATAGTTATTACGAGACCAATTCATGATCTTTCTACACATTCGGCGGTCCTAAAATTGCTTTACTTGGTAGTTCCAAAATTACTTTTTAGTTAAAGGAATTAGGAGATCATTTTCTGAGTAGGAAAAAAAAATGACATTTATCTTATATAAAAAATCTCCAAAATGATATAATAATGATTATTTACTTGTAAGAAAAGAAGAGGAAGGTCTCCACGGGTTCTGGCCTCAGGAAGGGAATGAAGTTCCAAGACATTAGTGAGTAAAGCCACACGTCCTCCTCTTGAACAACCCAACCATGTTCCTCCACCCACTTCATCTCTTCCTCCTAATGTCTCACCATCTTCCCACCACCACCCCACTTCCTTTGTTGCCCTTCATTTTCAAAACCCAATTTAAATTAGTTCCAAAAATAAAATTTTTAAAAAATAAAAATGAAAATGATTCCAAAAAATAAAATTTTTAAAACATAAAAATGAAAACGAACATATTTAATATTTGTAAAATAATGTAGCTTGCCTGTTGTGATACTCGTCTCTGTTTTGCAGCATGAAAAGAGGGTAGAGAGGGTGCGCTTGCCATACAAACACTGCTATACACATTTTGAAGAGGTTAGTTTTTTGGATATATAATCTTTTTATTTGCGTTTTTAAGAATATATATATATATATATAATATTTTACACGATATGTATGAGATTGGCAATTCTGGCATTTTATAAGCTTGGAAACCGGGGCATCAATGTATAACTTCTGCTGGTATTATAAAATACAGGTGGCCAAAGCCCTGGCAAGACACTTGTCAACAAAAGTCAAAAGAAGATGAAGCGGTCCCACGTACGAATTAACTATTAATAATATATTATATTATTAAGAATATCCAATATTTTCTTTTGAAAGTGTAATAATGTACAATTTTTTTTTTTTTTTTTAGGAAATAATGTACAACATAAATATTGCTCTTTTTATTCTAATGATTGATGTTTCTCACTTGATAGAAAAGAAAGGAACATGATTAAACCTTTTTTTTTATTATTTTTTGAAATGTTCATAGCGTAACCTATAATCTTAATTCTTAACGTAAGAAATTAGAATTTGATGACTTTAAAACAAGTCTCGTGTATTTTGTTGGCAATTCGGCATATACAGGACTTGTTTGGTTATATTTTTGAGTTATAGTAATTTGAGTGTAGATCTTGAGTTGAGTTTGAAGAGTCAAAACTTAAATTTGTATTTAGATAGTATTTTAATAAAAATTCAATGGTGATGAAAATTTTTAATAGGGTATATGGATAGGATTTTATTCGTCTCTTTGTTGTGAACGCATATAAATAATTATCTCAATCGAAATCAAAACGAAAAAGTTACGTTTTTAAGAATAAAAAAAATATTGTTCATTAACTTGAGTTTGAATTTAAGATCTTAGTTGGAGGGAAACTTGAATTCAAATTTTAACCTCAAATTCAAATTTTACAAACGAATATGAACTTAAAAAAAATTGTAATTTGAGTTCAAATATTATTATGTAATAGTTGTCTTTATGTGGTCACCTCTTGCCCACTAAATTGCTTAACTAAGCTTAAATTATTACTCGGTCATAAATCTCAATCAATAAATTCTAATTAATTGTTTTCATTACGATTGGTGAGTCCTTTATTGTGGTTTACACATAAATATATACATATATGTATGTATATACGTATGTGTTCGTTATATACATATTCTGCTGATATTATCGTATGGAATTATTTATTCATTATTAATAGGCGGTGCGCCGCTGGTTTAACGTACATTTTTCTCGCAGAATTAAGACACGTGATGAAAAGAGATTGTCAAAAATATTTCATTTGAGAAAATAAAAGTAATCTGATAGAATTTGCTTTGCGTTATCTGTAAAAAAACACATGTTACTGGATGATTCGTTTAAGATTGCTGAGTTTTAAGATTGTATTTTATTTTATTGTTTAAAGTGCTTTTAGGATTTCAAACGCAATCTTGAAATGGGAGTTGTCTATTCTAGCTTTAGATCAGTTAAAAGAGGGATAACAACAAATGTCTTGCCAATATCAAAAAACAGATCAAAGAATAATTTGTTTCAGAAAAGAAAAAAACATATATTTTAACATGGAATGTCAGAAAATCAAAGCACTTCGTGGCTTCTCGCTCTCTGAGTCAATAAATTATTAAAAGGTGGGTTAAAAATAATTTTTATATTTTAACATAGAATTTCGACATATAACGAAAATACATCCACTCATTATTACTTCAGTTTAATTTTACTTGAGATTAAACATGTGTTAGCTGGACCAACAATTAGACATTCTTTACATGGAAGATGAGCTAATTGTTTAGTATTTGATGTATTTGGTGCGTTTAGAACTCGTTTTAAAATGATTTTATTTTTTGTATAAAAATAAAAATGAAAACGTTTTCAATCTCAGATAGAAATTATTTTTAAAAATACATTTGATAGTTTTATCAAGAGATTATTTTCAGTATAAAAAAATACATTAATGTCTCTCTCTCTTTCTCTCTGCTCAAGAGAGGAGAAAATAAAAATAAAAAATGAAAAACGACTTTTTTATTTATCTCTCATTTTACACTAAACTAAAAAATCGTTTATTTCTCCCTCATTTCGTTGATTAAAAAAACTGAAAATATATACGATAGTAAGGCAAATCTTAATCTAACTCCAAATAATTTAAACTAAAGACTTGTCTTGAACTAAGGACTTATCCCCTAATCTAATTCAAACTTATAATTAAAATAATTCAAACTTTAAAAACAAAAGATAATTATTTATTTTCTTCATACTTAGGCTCCAGCTGCAAGGAGTTGCTCCAATTGTTATATAATATTGGGATCTGGCTCAGTTGAATAAAGCCACTTAAAACCATCAGTGCAGCCCATCGTCGCATCAATCAGAATAAATTCGCCTCTATAGTGTACATATCAATAACAACAAAGGTTTTTAACGATGAAATTTTTAGAGATGGGTTTTAATTATTTAGCTAGAACTCCCCGTATGACAAAATTTTGTTGTTTAATGACGTATTTCGAATTATGAGTTTTAATAATTTAGCGACCATAATTTTTTGTTTCACTTTTAATGACAATAAGTTTTTATGGTCATGAGAATTTTTAGTGACAACAAATATTATCGCTAAATTTTTTTTTTCTTGTAGTATATTGCGGATATTTCTCCTCATATCTAACAAGGAAGCTCATTTTCATAGGAATTTTGCCCAACACATAATCAACCTAGAATAAATGAAACAAATACAACGAACTTAACAAAACGAATTATAGTTGTTTGGGACAAAGGAAAACACACATGAGATCTAACAAATTTGCGAATATCATGTGGGGTGAAGGATCTTCCGCTGCAGAATATCTTTTCTGCTCAAGATGAAGCATGTAATCAGCTATAAAGAGCAGCAAAAAATGCAGAAGCAACAGGATGCTGTAACATTCCTTTCACTCACACATATAAGACCACCTGAATTGCAAAAAATGGGGTTGAAAAGAGGAAACAGAAAATAAAGCAGAACACAAAAAGGATTCAACTCGAAATACTGAAAGGCTACTTAATAAAATGTGCAGCATCGGAGTCAGTTTTTTACTTCAGTGGGGACATACACTAATTTTTTTTTAATAAATTATCTTAATGAGATATATAAGAAAATATATTTATTTTAATGGGAATATATATTATTTCAGTAAGAGTATAAGTGTAAAATTTTTAAATTTTTAAAATAATTTTTTTTTAAAAAAAAATTTGAATAGGGATAACTGGCACCGCTCATCTTCAAGTGGCTCCGTCAGTGCTAGTGATCATATGCTTGATGCATCTTATTATTCCCCTCTTCTTGTACATTTCTCCCTTTCCTTTTTAACTTTTTTTATTGATGACTCGGTGTCAACCTATTATAGTTTATGATGTTGAAGAAAGAGTCTAGAAGCGATTTGCTACTTTGGCAAATATACATCTCTACATGTTACCTCCCTCTATCTCCCCTCATCAAGTTCATTTTTGAAAGTCAGCAGGCTTGCAAAATATTGTTTTTCTTAAATTTTTTTTTTTTTTTTTGAGTAGTTAAGAAGAAGATTACTCTTTATGATTTCTGTGGCAGTTAGAAAATCTGGTAGAAGGCCGCATATAATAGCCTTTCCAGTCTCTTTGTACTTCGAGAGGCCAATAACATTTTATGTGCCATTGGCATTAAGGAAGCTTGTTCTAGAAAATAAAATTTGTGCCAAAAGAAAAATACATACTAAACAAATGGAAGACATAAATGCCAGAAATCATGTACATTAGTTATGAGGATTATATCTAAAGAAAGACCATTAAGAAGAGAACAATTAAAACTCTGTCTTGAGCTTAACATAAGAAAATAAGTTGGTTCAATAAGCTGGCAAACTTTCATTGGAAGAGGAATACAGTCAAGTTTGCAATTTAATTGGGATACAGTCTAAGTTTGTATTGATTCGAATATTTTGATATGAACAGAAAAATTCAAACTATGTGGTTTAGACTGTAGTCAGAATTAACGTTTAAATGTGCAATTAAAGTTTAAATCTGAACGGTGAATAAAATTTAAATTTGCATTTGGTTGGTAACAAAAATAGATAGAATGTGTATATTCTTACAGTTTAAAAATAATTTGAACTGTTGAATTTGAGGAGACATAAACTCTAAGTTTGACAATTTATTTCAATTTAAACGAAGAATATAATTCAAATTATATGTTTATTAAACATAAGTTTAAATTATGCCCATTGTTTGTACAAAATTAAATTGAGTTAAACTGGTGAAATAAATAGAGACAAGAAAACGGGTTGTGAGAAGAGGAGAATCAAAAAAGGATAATGATGATAATGTCAAATAAGAAGAAGAAAAAGGGTCGTCCTTCTCCTTTATATCTCTTAAAACACTCTCTCAGTGAACTTTTTAGGTTGTATGGATAATACTAATCGGGCACCACTTTGATTATATATTTAACGTATTTGCATACACATAGATGGAGCCAATCAATAGTTAGTAGGAGTTCAAGCCCCTACTGAACTACTTTTAAAAAAAAAAAAAATTAAAACTCTATTTATTTTACTGATTCGAATTTTATTACAGTAAAAAATTATTAAAAACAATCACATTTAATTTTTTTATTACAGTAAAAAACTCTCATATAAAATCATAACTTAAATTAAAAATTTAAATCAGTGAATTAAATATATCATAAATGTATACATAAAAATAGGGCTTAATGTGCTGAGATGTGAGTTTCAATAGTCAATAGTCGTGGGGCCCAGACTAGTTTAGCCTTCCTAATCAATAGTCAGTCTCATAGGCCAACCTTCAAGGAGCACGGTAAAACTGAAAATTATAGCTCTGAATTTCGAGAACCCTCCGATCAAAAATTTTTTATTAACGGGTTGTTTAATTGGGAGATTCATCTTCTGATTTGAATTATAATTTATAATTTATTATAATATTTTTTCTCATAAAAAATACACATAAATTAAGAATAATTTTAATCTTATGATTTTAATTCATGAATCAAACGTCTCCGAACTTTAAAAAGAAAAAAAATAATAAGAAAAAGAAGAAGAAGTGATGGTCTCAATAAGGGTTGCGAAGAAAAAGAACGCTTTGCTCCTTTCATTATAATTTGGCTATTTTCTTTCAAGGGGAAAAAGTAAAAGCAAACTACAAATGTATCAAATTGTCTTTAACTATAACATATCTATCTTGCATAATTCATAAATAAGAATTACGAAAGAAAAGAATTTGTGAATTCTTACATAAGCAAAGTGTAAAAAGAGTGATTATATATAGATACACGCACCAGATTATGTATATTTAATTATGAAATTCAACCTACGTTAAATTGGATCTATCAATATTCAAAATTATTAAAAATAATTTACTCACTCTCATCGAATTAACTGTGACAGTTTCACCTTAATTGTGTATGTAGATTATCAATCACATCACATGATATATATATATATATATATATATATATATTACGATTGCAATAGAAAATCACTACAGTGAGTACAAGTAGTGCTCTATTATAGACACTCAGTTGAGCAAAAAAAATTTACGTAGCTAACTATATATTAAATAAAATTTGATTAAAAAAATTTCTTTAATAATTGTACACAAATTTTACTTCGTTTGGATGTTTGTATTCATTTGCAAATAATTGTGATCGAATGAGAAAAAAAAGCGGTTCACTTTCATTTGAATTATTTTCGTCGTTTAGATTTGATGTGCTTTGTATATCTGTCGCTTTTTCCGTGGATGTGTATTGCATATCTGCCTTTTTTTCTGTGGATGTTTTTTCATGTTTTGGTTGCTTAATGTTATTGTCGTATCTTCAGTTTATGAATGTTGTTTTATTTATGTTTTTTATTTTTTATTTTTTTTTGTAGTCTCTCAATATAATGCCATTTATAAATTTTTTTCTTCGGCCGTTTTTAGTTGTTGTTTTATTCTTTATTTTTGTGGTCGTTTATGTAAACTGTTGTTTCTTTAGTGTATGTTGTTTTCCAATCTGATATATTTTTCGCAAATCATTCTCGTTTGTTTGTTTGTTTTTTTTTAAATTATTGTTCACGTCTGGTCGTTTTGTTAGTTTCTATGTCGCTTCTCTGTTCGAGGATTTCTTAGCAAACGTTCGTTGTTTTTTTTTTCTTCATTGGTCGTTTTTGTGATTTTTTTTTTGGAAGGGGTCGTTTTTGAGACTTTCATTGTTACTGTTATTGTCTTATCGTCAGTTTATTGCGCTTATCAAAGTTGACATCTTTTTAGTCTCTCCATATCATGTCCTTCATCAGGTAGTTTTGTCTTTTGCTTTTGATGGTGTTGTATCTGGTGATTATTAGGGCTTTCCAATAGAGTTATTGTTGTTTCCATAGTCTAATTGATGATGTCGTTTCTACCGTTAATATGCTTACAGCTTCTTGGTTCCTCCCGTTATTGCGTATTTTAGAGACGTTTGGTTCATGGATTAGAATCATTTTTTATTTACGTATATTTTTTGTGAGAGAAACTACTGTAGCGAACTATAAACCATAATTCAAATCATGGTATTAATCCTCTTACCAAACGTCTATAGTAGAGTTTGGTAATTGGAAGAAAAAACAAATGGAACGATCTTGCAAGCACCATATCACAACTTTTTCTCGAATCGTGAATTACAGGCCGTGTTTAAAATTGATCCCGTTTTTATTTTTCACGTTTTTTGAGAAAGAAAAAATAAAAAAAAACGGCGTTTGACGCAATAAAGATAAAAAAAAGAAATGAAAACTATTTTTTAGTTTAGTATAAATAAGAGAAATGAAAAACGATTTTTAGTCATTTTTCATTTTTTATTTTCTTTTTCTCTTCTCTCGAGCAGAGAGAGAGAGAAAGAGAGACGTTAATGAGTTTTTTTATACTGAAAATAATCTCTTGATAAAACTATCAAACACATTTTCAAAAATAATTTATATCTGAGATTGAAAATGTTTTCATTTTCATACAAAAAATAAAATCATTTTAAAACGAGTTTCAAATCCGTCCATAGACTCACAATTTTGAAATAAAGGAAATAAATACCCTAATAATAATATTTGATGAGATTCATGAGAAAAATTATGCGATAGATTCATTTCAAATAAGTTCCAACACACTAGTAATAAATAATGTCTGTAAAATATGATTTCATATTCACATGGAAACTTCTCAAGAGCATTTTTTTTTTTAATATTACTAGAACGATCCATACATTATTAATGAGAGGCGCTAGCATTTTTGAAGAATGTTAGTTCATTACTTTTATAAATCAATAGACCACTTCTATTTAAAAGTCAATACACCTTGAATTTTTACACTCTATGTGGTAAGAAGGAATGAAAAAAAAAAACACATAAAAAAAGAAAATGTAAAGAAAAAAAAGTTAATTTTCTTTTATGTTATTTGGTATGATAGGAGGAAAGAAAATATGCAATAGATTAAATGATTATTTGATCAATTATTTAATATTAAGTTAGCTTTAAAATAAGGGTAATGTCATTTTAGTCATTAATAAGTAGATTTGAGTTTTCCGCCTAACGTTGGAGAGACAAAAATTAATGGCCCCGCAACAACTTTTATCCACCATATTTTTCTTTTCTTTTTTACCGAACAACGCATTAGCGTTTGGTCATTTAAATTTGTTATAATTATGGTCCAATAACTAATGTACGTCAATTACTAGAGGTAATGCCCTTAAATTTTCTCTGATTAGCCAATTGAACCTTGAATTTTTTAAATTTTAGCATTTGGAATCATGGTTGTTCCATTAATTAACCTCCATTATTGCTTGGACTGCAGTTTAGAGATCCAAAATTTCAATACAAGAAGTATATAATGCAACATGTAAATAACAATAAGTTTAAAGTGCATGAATGCAGTTTACCATTAGAATCACAATACTAATTAAATATAAGGATTAAATTAAACTACAATTAAAAAGTTTCAAGGTCAAATAGTATTAATGAGACGGTAAAACTTCGTTTTAGCTTTATTACTTGATAATGAAAATCCTAACAAATTATTAACGAGGCAAGTAAAACAAAAAGAAATATTAAAAAATAGAGCTTGATTGGCTTGGGGGAGAGAGAGAGAGAAACAAAAAAAAAAAGAAAAAAGAAAAAAAGAAAGAAAACAGATAGAAACAAAGAAAGGGGGGTGTTTGAGAAGAGGAGGGTTAAACAGAGGACGACAACGATGACGATAATGGCGAAGAAGAGGAAGAAAAAGGGTCGTCCTTCTCTTTTGGATCTCCAAAAACGCTCTCTCAAACAACAGCAACAATTGCAGAAGCACAATCAAAACCCTAATTCTCCCAATTTCGCATCGAACCCTACCCGAGGATCCGACGCGCCGCCGGAGTTGATTACTGCCGACGACTACGACGACGATGAGCGCAAGGAGAAAAAGCACAAGCTCCTCCTCGGCTTTAATTCGAATTCCGAAGGCATTCACCCACTGACATTGTTCTCATTTGATTCGAACGCGGATGGCGGCGGCGATGATCCTGATGATCCCGATCGCAAGAGGCGCAAGATTGGCGCCGCCGTCGCTCATCATGGATCTAATCAGATGGTGATTATTACTATTATCAAATGCCTAACCGATTTCTCTGAAAGTAAACACCGGAAGTTTTTTTTGGGGGGTTAATTAACAATAAAATGAAAAAAAAAAGACGCAGAATTGATGTTATTGTTGTTGTTTTTTGTTTTTCGGTTTCCCCCAATTTTTGATAATCAAAATCTGAACTTCAATTGCGGGTAGGTTTGCCTTTAGCTTTTAGCCTTTACCTTTTGGGACAATGTTTGTTTAAATGGGATTTAGAACTTTTGGGATTTCGCGCGTAACTTGAACTCGTTGGATCGGGAGCGAGTTGACATGTGTTTGACTCAGTCAAGTTTTGGAGAATATTTATATATTTTTTATCCTAAATTGAGATCTGGGGTAGGTTTCCAGTTTTTTTTTTTTATATACAACATCCCATTTTAAATCCTCAAATTTAATTTTATATTCCCGTTGCTTCTTTAATAATGAGGCCCTTTTGGTTTTGGCACAGCTTTCATGTTTAAAAAAAGCTTCAATTTGTCTTTTCTTTTTAATTAGCTTCAGTTCTATTCCACTTCACCTGTACTTCCTTCTTGATGTTTGAATTATTACTATTATTTTTTTTTCTTGCGAATAAGGACAGAATCTATCTTTTGGTTTTATTTAATTGGTTATTTTCACCATTGATATTGGTCGAAAATTTTGCAGGGGGAAAAGGTTTTGAAAGCGACAGACAATAGTAGTAGTGTACATGGTATCAAACTATCAATCAAGTTCCAGTCTTTGTGGGGAAATTTTCATTCCTTTCTACAGTAATTAAATTTAAGGAAATACCGTTTTTATGTGGACAGGGTTGCAGGTGGACACCGGTCCCACGACACCTTTGCCAGACAAAAAGTTGTTGGTGTTCATCCTTGACAGGCTTCAAAAGTTTGTGCTTTTAGCTTCAAAATCTTTTTTATTCTTCTTTTTTGGCTTACAATTTCAACTGGGTTTTGATTGTTCATTTGTATTTTTCTTGCAGAAAGGACACTTATGGGGTTTTCTCCGAGCCTGTAGATCCAGAAGAGGTGCTTTTATTCAATTCTGATACTTGCTTACCATGTAACTTGTACGGTATTTGAGTTCCATCTCTTAAGTTGATGTTTGAAAACGTTGGTACAGCTTCCTGATTATCATGAAATTATCGAGAACCCAATGGACTTTGGAACTTTGAGGAAGAAACTCGATTCTGGAGCTTATACTAATTTGGAACAGTTCGAGGTTGGTATCCAAAATTTCAATGAACGGCTGAGTTCCATTTCGGTTATAAATTATTGGCATATCACTTTTTGCAGTCTTCAGTAAGATTATTTTATATGTTCGGTTATAAACTATCCAAAATTATTTCGTTTACATTTTTTTTATATGTTCAGCTCCTGTAATGAGGCTTCAATTTTGGTCTGTAGTCCTGTGTCTGAGATCAGTTTTTGTTGAAACGTAACATGAGAAGAAATTTCCACCAGAGAATAGAACTGATTAGAAAGTTAATATCTTGGCGGAAACGTTTCAGACTATCTTTAAACGCAGATGTCAGATGGCAAATGAAATGAGGAGACAAACTCAACGAATTGGAAAAGTCAAGGTGTAACAAACTCCAGTTTTTTGAATTTTTCGAGATAAAACATTTTAGCAAAAAGGGGTTTGACCAGAACAGTATGGGTTTGAACCCTTTACTCAAACAACCCCGTAATTATTTGATTCTGCCCCACATTAGTAGCAACAGGTTTTGAAGAAGAAGAACCAAAAAGATGTACAGCTTTATTAGCTTTGCCTCGTAAGCCATTGACAAAGGGACAAGCTGAGAATCAATTATTGATCAACTCTCTAAGCTAGATTGAAATGTGAATTAGTGACAGACTACTGGTGATTTAGTTACTGAGATGTTCCTGCCTAGGCGATAAGCTAGAAGAGTTCAGGAGTATTGGTCTTTAGGTTTCCCGGATTTGGAAGTTTGCATACGCCTAAATTTTGTTTCACTTTCACGGGGATTTTGTTGTAATTGCATGAACAAGAAGTGAAAAGCTGTATATAATGTTTCTTTTGACAATGTCTTATGTTGACTTATCTGGATTTAGATACCTTTTACAATTCACTATCCAATCTGTGCAGAAAGACGTTTTCCTGATATGTTCAAATGCAATGGAGTATAATTCACCAGATACAACATACTTCCGACAGGTTTTTCCTTGTTCATCATTATTTATTTATTTATTTATTTTGCCTCAAGCTTGGGGAATTTGATCATATCTCTGAGGTTGACTGATCTTTTCAGGCAAGGTCTATGCATGAGCTTGCAAAAAAGGACTTTGAGAATTTGAGGCAAGACAGTGACGATGATGATGAACCTCAGCCAAAACTTGCAAGGAGAGGCAGACCACCGGGGAAGAAGGTTACAAAGCCGATAGAAAGTTCGCCAGTTGACTGTATTCGTCCTGAATCATTTGCAGATGCAACTCTTGCTTCAGGAGGGGGGAACGCCAATGGGTCCAACAGTTATAATTTAAGAAAAGCCCGGAACACTAACATGTGGCGACCTGCTGATGCAGTAAATGGATTCTTTAATAAGTCTCTGAGTGCTGAGACTTGTACTAGCTGGTTGCCAGAATGGGAAAACGAATTTCCTGGTATATAATCATATGGACTAATTTGTTTATCACTCTATATTTTTCACTTAAAACTTTTTATAATTAGCTGTTTCATTCTCTAGTCTTCAGACTCTTTACTTAATAGTGCACATATATCTTGATTGCCAGCTTCAGTGCTGAGAAGTGTGTTGAAGTATGGAAAGAAGCAATTTCCTGTTTATGAGAATAAGCGTGACACATATAGGTTTCCTTCGGCTTTTCGATATGAACCATCAACCTTGGCTACCTTTGAAGGGGAACGGAAACAGTTAGTGGAGGTACGTCTACCTTTTGCTTATATATATGTGTGTGTGTATTCATTAATCCTAAATGGGAAGCTGTAACTAGTTGGTTTGAGTAAGGGTAAGGCGTGAAAATTGAGGACTGCGGAACGACTTTTAGGATGCCATATAGCTAAGACAGACTTTCTCTTAAATGGAATTGCGTTTGTTTAGCTAATCATTCTCTTTTTAAATATAAAACAGGTATATGATTCTTGCTTAGATCATAGTTATGCAAGAAGTGTGGCTCGGTTTGCGGCGGGCCTTGGGCCTGTTGTTTGGAAGACTGCTTTGAAGAAAATTGAAAGTATTTTGCCTATTGAACTCAAGTTTGGTCCTGGATGGACAGGAGAACATGAAGCTTCAAAGAATGAGAAATCGAATGTTTGTGAGGAAGTTATGCCCAACACTGCAGCTAATGATCTTACAAGCAGCAGGCTTCTACCCCAAAGTATTTCTGGCTCAAAATTGGTTGGTGCAGATAAATTCTTTCTGCAAGGTAGAGAAGACACGGAAACAATTAGACATTTAAGTACCCAAAATGAGTCGGCTTCACTCAACAGTAACCTTGGCGGTACGAGGATTGTTACTCCTTTCCAATTTCAGCAGAATTCTGTTGTTCAACCTTGCATCAGTGGTCCAAATAGTGGCCCTGACTCGTATATTCTACCACAAATGGGGTTTTCACTGCCCACCACGTTGCTGGGCAAGTCAAGTCAAGCCGAGCCTTCAGTGTCTTCTCAAATGCTTGGCATGGCTTCAACTAGCAACACCATCATGGCTCCATTACGCACAAATGATATGGATTCAAGTGAACCAAATTTGTTAATAACTGCAAGTAGATCAGACTATGGGAATTTCTTGCCCCAAGGATCGTATGGCCTTGGATCGTCTAGAGCACCGCCATCGGGGTTTGTTGGTGAAGCGTCCTTCCAGGGATGGGCAATGCACCATCAACAGGACACTCATCATCCATTTCCCTCTGACCTGAACAAGAGGTTTAGAGCACCGGGTTCACCAAGTTCTCTTGTGCCGCCAGATTTGGCTTTGCAGCTTAGGATGGGCCTGTAGTAACTTACTTTGCTCGGTCAAGGTGTTGAGCTTCTTGATATAGAAGAGATAACTCTAGTTTCATTTTTCTTTCTTTGTTCTAAAAAAGGAATTTACTTCTAACGATGGTGACTCGCCTAACTTATAAATATGGCCAAATTTAATTTTCAAAAGAAATAGTAAATTACTTTCTTACAATTTGAAGTGTCGTCGGCTTTGGGTTTTGTACAGATTTTATTAGCATACAGGATTTTTAATTCATAATAGCACTTTTTTCCTGGATTAGTGATAGAACTTTTTTTTTTTTTTTGTTAAATCTGAGAATAAGTATAAGTAATGGTACTAAAGTCAAAAGAAACAGAAAAAATATATACAAATAATGTATCAGAAACGCATAGCTAAAAAATTTATGTAATGGAGATGCGGGGTATCGATCCCCGTACCTCTCGCATGCTAAGCGAGCGCTCTACCATCTGAGCTACATCCCCTTTTGACTTTTGTTTTGGTCGTTTCAATGGCATAATGATGAGAGAGCCAAAACCGAGTTCAAAGACATGTTGCACTCCTGTCTGCTGACTCTCAATATGATTCAATTAACTGTTGGACAGATTATACAATTTTCGCTGGTTCCTCCCGAAGCTCAACATGTTACAAATTTAGAGGATGTTTGGTAGAGGGATTCGTTCTCTGATTTGAATCATGATTCATGGTTTGTTATAATATTTTCTCTCACAAAAAATACATGTAAATCGAAAATAATTCGAATCACATGGTTTGAATCTTCCAACCAAACGTCCTCTTACTATTCCTGTCAATTTATCAACAGAAGAGGACGAGGGCAATGCATAAGATACCAAATTGGAGGGCATTTTAGTAAAATTAGTTTAGGTACGATGTTAGGTTATTTTAGGGGTTTGAATGGCCAATTTTTCCCCAAATAATTTATTTTTACAAATCCTGAATTGAAGTTCGTTCTTAGTCGAAGGAGAAAGAAGAGTGACTCTGTGTACTCTAATTGTTGTGCGAGGAAAGGGTTTATTTTTTTTTGGGGTAAAACTCAAAAAAAATTTAAACTCAAATTACAACTTTATTTAAGTTCATATTTGTTTGTAAAATTTGAGTTTTAACTTGAGTTTAAGGCTAAAATATGCGTTCAAATTTCCCCTTTAACTCAAGTTCTTAAACTCAAACTCAAATTAATGAACAATATTTTTTCTATTCTTAAAAATGTGATAACTTTTTTGTTTTAATTCCGATTGAGATGATTTTTTTTCTATGCGTTCACAACAAAAAGACGAATAAAAACCCACCTATATACCTTATAAAAATTTTTCATCACCATTGGGTTTTTATTAAAATACTATTTAAATACAAATTCAAGTTTTGACCCACTCAAACACAAACTCAAATAGACTCTCAATTCAAATCATAACTCAAATGTGAACATCCAAACACTAACTCAAGTTACAAGTTCAACTCAAATTATAACTCAAATTCAACTCAAATCACCATAACTCAAAAATGTAACCGAACAAGCCCTATGAATTTTGAAATCTTAGTTTGAGGTTGAATGTTAATCTCTTGACTAATCACTTCTTCCCAGCTTCTACCTTTGTGCCCAAGCTTGTTAGGGTCTGTTTAGTTTGTTGATTCAAATTTTTAATTTGAATTGAGATGTGACTTTATGTAAGAGTTTTTTACTGTAACAGAAAAGTTATATGTGATTATTTTTCAGAGTTTTTTACTGTAGCAAAACTCGAATCAATAAAATAAACGGGATAAGTAGTGAGAAAGGTTCTTAAATGTATTAGTCTTGATGGCCGCCATCGATGGAGCTCCAAAGCTCATCGTTTTAAAATAAATACCTAATTTGAGAGGGATTAAAAAAAAACCTAATTTGAGAGGTATAAAAACGACAAGCTGCTACATATTAACATGGGTCCACACGGGCAACTTCGTAATTTCGAATTTAACAACCCAACTCTTGTTGCAATGGATGTCACGTGTCTTTTTCCATTAGCAAATTGACAGATAAGGTAAACTTGCATGCGTACTGAAATTTGAGAAGAACGTGAATGTTATAAATTAAAGTTTGAGGGGCACAAGACTTATAATTTAGTTGGGAAAAGTAAAATTTATCCTTAACTTGTTCGTGGACTTGAACTTTCAAATAAGACAAAGATGATGATCATGATCATGATAATGATAATAATAATAATAATAATAATAATAATAATAATAATTATTATTATTATTATTATGTTGAAGGATGAGACTAATTACTTTCTATTGAAGGAACTTTTTGGCGATTTTTCCATGTGTCGAGAAACAAAGGAAAAAGCGTAATTGTTCCTTTCAACTTTATAAATGTTTAATCTCATGGAGGTTTCGTAGTTGAATAGAAGTATGTCCATGCATGATGCGAGGCAGCCAGACACATCAATCACTGGAGAGGCCTTAATACTCGGTTTATTATTTGAATTAATTAATGTACAAGTGAAGATTGGGTCTCAATATATATATATATAACCCAATAGGAACTTGTAAAGAATATATGAATAACATAACCATATATATCTCTAGACCCATCATATATCATTATTCATATACACATATACATACGCATCCGTTCACTTCGCTGATTCGAGTTTAGAATTTGAGTTTTTCTACAGTAAAAAGCTCTCACAAACAATCACATCTAACTTTTTTGCTACAGTAAAAAGTTCTCACATAAAGTCACATCTAAACTCGAATTTTAAACTTGAATCAACGAAATGAAATGCAATTCCTCATTTGGATGGACGTAACATTAACATCATAATTTCATCATGTCGCGGCACTTTGATGCGTTTACTAGTCTAGATATACCTCTTCATCTATTAGATAAATTCTCAAACACACGTTTTTTGAATTAGCCATGTTGGTTGTACTTGCTTCAGTTCGCACTAAGAATATTGTATGTTTGTGCTTGATGAGTATATATAATCACATGATGAGTGAAAAGGACAATCATCAAAAGTATTGCTTGAGAGAGAGATAGATTTTTGACATTTAATTATCTTAAAACCAATAGAACCTGTTAAACTTGGACTTGATCAAAATGCGCGCGTAACAGACTCTATACTATTTCAAACACGTCCTATTGAATTAATCAGCATCATAATGAACCACGTTCCAATTCTCATGAATCTCAATCAAATATTTTTTTATATAAAATACTAAAAAATTTAAATATAAATTGTTTCGTGTCAATATGAGAGCATACGATATATATAGAGCACATTTAAATATAAATTGTTTCGTGTCAATATGAGAGCATACGATATATATATAGAGCACTTTTTTTTTTTGTTTTTTGGCTAATCGAATTATAATATATGGAGATTAGTATGTGTCAAATTAGCACGGGAGGGGAAAAAACATGGTGCTGTCCCGAAAATCAAAATAAAGTAAACAAAACAAAAGACTAACGCAAATAAGATTAGAAGCAAAGTCAATTATCACTTTCCCATCATGATCTATATGTACAGTAGAAAAGGGACATCAAATAACAGTTCAACGAAAAAGGAAAGGGATAATAAAAAAAATTCTTTCCCTCCACATCAAAGAAAGAATATATTATGGTATCTGCAAAAGCGAAAACAGAATACTCACTCTAAAAAAAAAAAAAAAAAAAAAAAAAGTCCTACCTTAAACAGTTAACGCCATTCAAGTAATTAAAGAATAATTAATTTAAACTCCGTGATATAGTGAAGATTTACATCTTTTTAATTTGTATAAAACTGAAGATTTACATCTTTTTAATTTAGATAAAACTGAAGATTTACGTCTTATAATAAACCATAATTATCCATAAATATCTATAATTATATCTTTTGAAAAGAAAAGCCCCATAAAGTCTCTCTATATATATACGAGAGCCTGAAGTATAAGTTTTCCCAAAAAATAAAAAATAAAAACTCATGTCACCAAAGAAAAAAGGATTAAAAAAAATTCTTCCTCTCCTCAACAAAGAAAAGAATAAAGAGCAAAACTATATATCACCACTAGTGATCGCACATCTCATATATCAATTTTTAAAGGAATTAAAAAATCCATGTAATTACTAACCATCTAAATTTTCCAAGAACAAAATTACACAATTGAAAAAGAAAAAAAAAATTGAAATCCTACTTAAAACTGCTTCAAATCCGTCTGTCACTTCTTATGTACCAAAACATGCCCAATATAACAGTCCCTCCCATTAAAACCCCTTCTATATCTAATTAACAACAATCAATTAGTATAATAATAATAATAATAATAAACCTTGATTAATCCTCCTAATTATTCCTCATCACGATCGTCATTCTCCCATGCCATTTTGTAACCGTCGGATGTCCGGGACCCGAACCATTTCCGGGTCAGCAGTTTCAAGCGTTCGTCTCTAACCTCGCAAAACATCTTAGCCCAGCCTTTCGGCTCGACGGCTTCGAACCCTAGCCCCGGTGTCCGGTCCTTGGACTCCGGGTTCACCTTCTCCGTCCAGTCCGCCACGTAGGTCGACACTCTTCTTCGAAACTTGTTCCGAAACTCCGACCACGCCTGGTACTTGTAGTGGTTCACCACGGCTCTTTGCATGCTTATCGTATTGGACCTGTACTTATCGCTGATGAGATGAAAATGGTGAATCACGTTGAGTAAGGAAGGATCCACTGCTTCCAGGAGCAGAATAGACTTGTGTCGTTCTTCAGCCTTTCTTCGACACGTGTACCCCTGGGTCACACCTGCGGTTGGGTGGGTCGGTTGGTTGGAGGGGCCGAAATCGTTGCACTTGATGGAAACTTGACCAATGTTGATCGAACCGTCAGATGGTTTTGAAGGTGGGGCCCGCGGGAGGAGGGATTTCAGCATGTCGTCAGATGGTTTGGAGGAGCTAGTCCACGATGGGGAGTAGATGAATTCATCAACATCGACGTACATCATCCAAGAGCACGAGTCTTTTCCGTAGATCGCGCTGTGGGAGAACCCAGCCTCCTGGGCCTTTGGCCAGACCCAAAACAATGTTGTTACGTTGTAACCCTTGCCGTTTAGCTCCTCAACGACGCTGCTCAGATTGTCGTTGCTATCGTTGTCGTACAATATGAACTTATCGACTCCGATTTTGGAATAGTACGTCACCCATTCCTTGAGGAACTTGCCGGAGTTGTACACCATCGCGAATGCGCACAGTAGAGACTTTGGCTCTGGATTTGCTAGACTGCACCGGCGTATGTATTGCGCCACAGAGGGGACTATCATATTCTCGTACAAAATCTCTAGAGAGACTTTGATTGGTCTGTTGAAATCAAGCGACGTTAGTTCTGGGGGAGCGCACCTGAAGACCTCCTGAGCAGAGCTCGTAACGGCGGTTTTAGTGGCGATGTTATAATTGTTGCCGTCGTCGTAGAAGAAGACGCAGTTCAAGTCACTCGGCGGCCGGTTCCTGCCTTGGCGGTTGTTAACTCCCTTGACGAACAGAACGATGTCGTCTTCGGTCGAAAACGATTCGTAAACCAGAAAAGTCCACCGGTAGAGCTCCAGCAATTGAAATGGTGGGGGAGATTCCTCCTTCTCCGTTGAAGGCTTGGTCAGAACCGGCATGAAGAACGGCCGCAGACTGCGGACGCTGTTCGGCATAGTGCACTTGTACGTCGTCCGATTGTTCATCGGTAAAACCCCGGAGTATCTCGCCTCCGACGTGTCGCCGTTCTGAAAAAGGCAGACGAAGTCGTCGCCTGAGAGCGGCTGCACCGGATGAGAGACGATCACCAAAACCTCCCAGTCAGTGAGGAGAACCGACACGGAGGCGGCGGCGGTACTATTCGAGTCCTTGACGGAGGAGACGTGGCGGACATGGCGGTTGTTGAGTAGATCCGAGTCTTCGTGAATGGCGAGATTGTAGTAGTGATCGGAATTCCCCGATCGGAGATTGGCGGCCGCGGAGGAGGAGAAGAGAAAATCGGTAGCGGTGGTTTGGGAGGAGAAGGCGTGGCGGGAGAGGTGGAGAGACAACAAGAGGAAGAAAGCGATGGCGGCGAAGGTGAGGAAGAGGTTGGGTCGGAGCCTCCGCCGCATGGCGTCGTGGCAGAGGCCTTGCTTGCTGGAATTATGAGAATCCGAAAGACGCAGCAAAGGAGAAGAAGAAGAAGAAGAATGGGTTGTGGGGAGAGAAATAAGGGTGGGGTCTGCAAGTGGCATGATTTGGGCCATTTGATCTTCGTTAAGCCAATTGCGTTGAATATGGCTGCAGCTATTTAATTCTTTTTGAAATGTTTTCTATATTATCTTATTATATATATATAAGTTTTTTTCTTTATTAGATATAGAATAGAATTTGAAGTATAGAACTATAGAGAGATAACAGAGTGATTACAAAGAGAATTATATAAGTGAAAAAAAAGATCATTAAAAGTGGTCAAATAGGAAACGGACTCCCATTAATATTATTACTCTCTTTCCTAATTGGTGGCGGATTCGGATTGTGATTTCATCACAGGAGCCGGGTGGCCTTTATATACATACATACGTACGTACGTACATACATACATACATATATTCTTATTAGGCGGCCCTTTACATGTTTTGTTGTACATCTTTTCTGTCTTGTGTGACGTGTAGACTTCCATGAAGTTTCTATTGCAGTTTTTTCTGTTAAGTCAGAGTTCAGAAATTTTTTCTCTATTTTTTTAAAAAAGTAATTTAAATTTTAAAATTTTTAGTTAATTAACTTTGATCTCTAATAATATAAATGTAGAATACAATCGAAATATCTTTTAAAAAAAAAGATAATCACATGCTCAATGCGAAATTCTTGAACTTTTACAAGAGTAATAATAGTAATAGTAATATAGTAATTACAGAATATGCAAACTATTTTAATTTTTTTAAGGGAACTATTTTAATTTTTTATGGACAACATATGATTTCTTTTTTTTTTTTTTATTGATAAGATATTCTAATTTTCAAGAATATCGAACATAATACTTTGCATATATGTGATGAGAGGATCACTTTCCAGTTTCCATTTAAAATTCGTGTTTGTGATCGAGTCTTTTAGAATTTCGAGAATGTAACTTTTACGTTATATTTTTTTTAATAAATAAGGCACTTTTTTTTTATTTGTATTGCTACTAACATAATACGTTCTATAAAAGTACCAACAAAAAAAAAAAAAAAAAAAAAAAAAAAAACTCATGCAGTATCATGTACAGCCATTGCGTTTGAGAGGGGAGAAAAGTACTGCCACTGGATATTTGATAAAAAGATTCGTTCCCTGATTCGAATAATAATTCATAGTTCGTTACAGTATTTTCTCCCACAAAAAATACACATAAATTGAAAATGGTTTTAATTCATGAACCAAACGGGACAGCTGAGTTAAAAAATGGGAGTTTGCCAGTTTATTACGGCCCAAATTTTCCGTGCTAGACTAAACATATGATTTTACCAAGGTTTACCAGATTTAAGTAGTTTGATAAATATTCTTCTTTTCTACGAAAACGCTTGATTTTTTTTTTTGTTTTTTTTGGTATTTTGAGAAAAAGCTTGGTTATTTTTTCTTATAGGAAAAAAATGCTTGGTTAATGTGCAATTTGGAGAATTTCGTGGTAGGGACCGTACGGTAGATAGGGAATGAAAAATATTACATTAAGATAAAAGATAATTATGAACCATTGATCAACTAGATTAAAAACATATGTTGCGTTAAGAAATATAATAATTTATGAAATTTAATATACTTTCAGTAAGATAAACGATAATTGATCTCTTGTTGGTTCTTAATTTTCTTCAATATATGCCTAGGAAAACAAAATGGTAAGGTGATATTTGACATAGTAAATTCATGTGAGGATAGTTATGAAATGAACATTTCAATCTTACCTTTTCAAGATTTGTTTGCTGATAGAAAATAAACTCTAAAAAAAGTTCCACAAATTATATTAAAGTGTTTACTGTTTACTAATGAGGAATTATACAGGAGCGTAATTCCTCATTTGCTTAAAATCCGGTTAGCTATGATCATTAAGGAAAGAAAAATAACATTTTATATATCTCCTAACTACCATTTTTAAGATGCATATCCAAACATATTATGTCGAGATTAAAAAAGAAAAATGTTATGTCGATATAATTTGTTTTCTGTACATAGTTTTTATTTTCATTTTGTGTTATGTTGATATGTGAGATCACAGGAAAAAAGATAAATAAAAATCTCCAACTGTGAAAGTACAAATTTCCTTATACTTGGTTCACATTTCTGAATAAACTATGTCATATCAGTTAACATTTAAAAGTACTATACACAGTTACACTATGGGTATATTTGGTAAGGATTTTTAGAGTCCAAAATTAATTCTCTAGCTATCTACAGTTAAAATTTGTGTTTAATACAAACCACAAAAAGTGATTCTTAAAGAATTTTTGAAGATTTTATAGTCAAAATCATAAGCAGCCCAAAGACAATTTTAACTTTTAGATTATGCGGTAATCACTTTGAAGTACAATTAATAAAACTTTCATAATACACATAGAATTAATACTTGTATAATTACAATTTACTAAACACTCAGCTGTCTTTTGTAACAACTGTTTTTTTTTTCGGCACAGCTAACAGTAATTTTTTTAAAATCTACAATACTACTAAACTGGCCCTATGTATGTATATATATCATATATGTATGTATAATTTTCGTCGTTTTTTTTTCTAGACTTTGATAATTTGATATTTGTGAAAAGTGATAGAAATATAAGAACTAATTGATTATATAATTCAAGACTTGATGAGCAATTCAGAAACTCTGAGAGTAGAGAAGCAAGGGCCATGGCTTTACAGCTAAACTGTTCCCTTGCGTTGCACAAAGTGTTGTGACTGTTGTCCTTCAAGAGCACACAAAGTTCATTCTTTAACAAAAACTTTATACTATTTTCATTGTATCCTTTAATTGCTCCCAAAGTAAACTCGCGTGTAACTTTATCCATCTTTTTTATTGAATATTATTCCTATCTTTCCTTTGTGCATGATTTTTTATCAAAAAAAAAAAAAAAATTGTAATATTTTTTGAGGGATTATACAAAATGTTAAATATACGAAAGTTGTTAATTAGACAGTCGAGCAAGATACCTAATAGTATTATTTTAGCTGTGCTACTTTTGTTTTGTTTTGAGAAAGATGAGTAATTAGTTGTATATATATGTAGATATTTCCTATTTTAAAATTGAATTAAATTACACAGTCCATCAAAAGTCCTTTTGTATCAATTATAGAAAGCATATCTTATGGCATATCAATCGCTAAGGTGACGCATCAATTATATTGGTCAGTCGCTGCCTTCACTTCAACTCGGTAACATTGAATTAGAATCCTTATAATCTATTTATATATAAGTAATCATTATTCGTATCATACCATATATATATATACACACACACAAATATATATTGGTAATTATAATATTGTGTTATTTTGATACTAACTAATTTGACAATTCATTTACCAAAAAAAAAAAAAACAACTAAAGTGACAATTCATAGTTTTTTTTTTTTTTTTTTTTTTTTTGGTGGACTATGTATTGGATGCCAATAACAAATGAGTCGTATTCTTTTTATTTATAATTTGACGAGCTGTTTCACCATTAGAAAACAATACTATCATTTGGGAAAAATTCCCACTCTTTTAAAAAAAAAAAAATTACTATTATTTGGGAGAAGATATATAGTAATGTAACGATAATTGGACTCCATGAAAGCAAAATTAATATAAAATACTATCCATATCATACATCTAGAAAGTGACCGATAACTGCTGCTTGTCCTCTGACTTTATGCCACGTCCGTACTTCAAGTTGGCATTTCCTTCAATGACAATATTTATATATAGTTGTAACGTGCAAAACACTAAAAATTGAACCTCTAGACTGGAGAATCTCCTGTGCATGAGCGCCAAGAATCTGGCGCCAATATATACACACACATATATATATACACAAACACAGACATATACAGAATTATTGAATGATTAATACTGGAAACAGCATTATTCTAATATTGATTTCTTTTCAATCCATTATCAAACATTTTACTTATTAAGCATACAAACATTTGTATATTAAGACATGAACCTTTGCAACTGGAAGGGAATTTCCAAAAAAAATACTGGTTTGTTAAGATTTTCTACTAAAATTATAGCCATACCGCTATTTTTTTTTTATTTCATAAAGAAATTAAGGGGATAACTTGCTTATTCTTTTGTGTTATTATCTTTGAATTATGCCATTTCTAAATTGATACTTGATATTTAATAAGAGAGAGTGAGAACAAAAATAATGTTTAAAAAAAAAGACATAAATCGTTATGCTTTGTCCCCCCTGCACTGAGAGACATTCCTCTCATAGTCTCTCTCTCTCTCTCTCTCTCTCTCTCTCTATATATATATATATATGTGTGTGTGTGTGTGTGTGTGTGTGTGTAAAATAATGTATAGCAAAAGATCAGTTTCTTATTTAAAAAACAAATATAAAAAATAAGTGCTTTTCTAACCTGGAACTTGGAAGAAAATGGTGTTTTCACTTTGGTGCCACAGACTAAAGCACATAAATCCCAAACCTATTAAATGTAACTATATATTAACTTACTCAATTTTTTACCATTTATTTTTATTCACCAAAACTTTTTATCTCCCTCTTTCGTCTTAGGAAAGGGATTGTTGGAGCAAGTCACTTCCTCCTTTACTCGTTGGGTAAATTAGAAAATACCACTTTCATATAGTTAGAATTCATATATACAACTTCTATAAAACAAAAATAAGAGCAACTTAATTTAAGAAAAAATTACAAGATAACCATTATTTTTATCATCCCATTATTTCAGGAAAACAAAAATATTATAATAGAATATAAAAAAAAATCCTATCAGAGTAAAGGGTAAAGAATAAAAATTCTCACCTATACACTTTGTTGATGGTCGTTTTTGTACAAGGCCCGTACAAGAGTCCATGCCCAATAATTCTGTCTCGTGACACTTTTGAGCTAGCTTTGTGGACCCAAGCCACGCTCGGGTTTGGTGGGCCACGGGTAATTGAATGGGCAGATTTGTATCTTAGTCCAATCCGATTTTGAGTCCCGCTTGGGGAGTAAAATAATTGAGTTAAAGAATAAGTCGGCGATGGAGAACTGAATCTTAGAAGTCCTTTATCTTATCCTTTAGGAGTCTTAAAAGCCCTTTCGTTAGTTCTTAGAGACTCAAAA